AGCTGCGTCGTGGAGCTCAATGGTGTCAGCTCGTGCAGGCATGGGAATGTGGAGTGAATGTTTGATGCTATTCCGTGAAATGTGTAGAGAAACGAATCTGAAGGCGGAAGAAAGCGGAATGGTTAGTGCTCTCTCAGCTTGTGCCAACACCAATGCACTCAATCTAGGAATGAGCATCCATGGCTTCCTGTTGAGAAACATAAGCGAACTCAATATAGCAGTCCAAACTTCACTAGTAGATATGTACGCTAAATGCGGGTGCTTAGAGAAAGCGTTGTATATATTTAGGAAGATGGAAAGCAGGAACAATTTGACTTACAGCGCAATGATCTCAGGACTTGCCTTGCACGGAGAAGGAGAAGCAGCTTTAAGGATGTTCTCAGAGATGATCGAAGAAGGTTTAGAATCAGATCATGTTGTGTATGTGAGTGTTCTCAATGCATGTAGCCACTCTGGTCTTGTCAAAGAAGGCCGTCGAGTCTTTGAGGAAATGTTAAAGGAAGGTACGGTGGAGCCAACGGCTGAGCATTATGGCTGCCTTGTGGATCTTCTGGGAAGAGCCGGTCTGCTCGAGGAAGCCTTGGAAACTATCCAAACCATGCCCATTGAGCAAAACGATGTTGTCTGGAGAAGTTTCTTAAGCTCGTGCAGAGTTCATCAGAACGTTGAACTAGGCCAGATAGCAGCTCGAGAACTGCTTAAGCTAAGCTCACACAACTCAGGTGACTATTTGGTGATCTCTAACATGTATGCACAAGCTCAAATGTGGGAAGATGTAGCCAGAGCTCGAACAGAAATGGCGGCTATCAAGGGTTTGAAGCAAATCCCGGGTTTTAGCACCGTCGAGGTAGATGGTAAAACCCACAGGTTTGTTTCACAAGATCGGTTTCACCCAAACTGCAAAGAGATATACAAGATGCTACACCAGATGGAATGGCAGCTGAAATTCGAAGGATATTCACCAGACACGACACAGATATTGCTAAATGTAGATGAAGAAGAAAAAAGGGAGAGGCTAAAAGGTCACAGCCAAAAGGTAGCTATTGCATTTGCACTATTGTATACACCTCCAGGGTCTATCATTAGAATAGCTAGAAACCTGAGGATGTGTAGTGACTGTCACACATATACAAAGAAAATCTCTTTGATCTACGAAAGAGAGATTGTTGTAAGAGATAGGAACAGGTTTCACCTGTTTAAAGGTGGAACTTGCTCTTGTAAAGATTATTGGTAGATTTGGATTCTTCAATATCCCTAATGTTAAAATTCCTGTTCCACACTCTTTCAAGCATGAAGATACCAATAACGGAAGAAGTAAATGGAAAACAAACACAAATGAGAACATTCCAAATCAACCTTATCTTTATTTTCTTCCCGCGAGTTTTTCCAAAGAGTTAAAGACTTACAATGGGTGAAAAATGCACGGTGAAGTGCTTACACCAAGAAATTTAGCACCCGAGTCTATATGCAAAACAGTATACTCAACCGAACTTGGTGATGCACCTAATTAATCGGGCACTGCCAAACAATGTTGCTTACTCAAGATGAACTGATGAAACGCCTGAAGTGATACCTGTGGTGCGTGGATCACCACTTTCTAGGCAAACGCCGTGTGGATCTTCTTTCACCAACAAGGCCAAAACATTGTGCGAACTCCATGCCTGGGTCAGTGTGCTGCCGGAATCCCCTAAAGTAATTGCAAATATGGCATCAAATCCACCAGCCCCAGGAACACCAGCAAGCAGAACCCCTTCAGCATTCATTGTAGAGTCCAAAAGTTGAGTTTGGGATTCAGGCTCAATCTGCAATTCCATGGTCACTCAAGGTCAGTGAAGATGCAAAACAAGTCAATGTGTTAAAATGCGTGATTTGGAGAACCCTTATATCTTGTATGCCATTAACATTCTACAGCAAGCCGAGTATTTAATGCATCAGCACAAATGGTCAATATAGCTTAAAAAGAATAAAAGGAAAACTTACCGGAACACTAGCAGCCTCACCCATCTGCCGCATAAGAATTCTGATCCTCACCATAGCTTCTCTTGCCCCTAAGAGTTCTGTAATAATTGCTTCATTGATTGGTTCAGTAGCATGTAGCACCCACTAAACAGAAAAAAAAGAGGCAAATGAACAACGCTGCTCGTTGTTGTAAAATATCTAATGAAATCAATACTCAACAAATGGAAATATACCTTATCAGAAGTAAGCACACTACAAGACTTAATGACACCCAGATAAACATCCCAGTGGTCCTTGGCTAATTTGCTCAGAATGTTTAGCTTAGTTTCCAGTTCCAAATTTGCATCTGACAACTTTTGCCAATTTTCTCGTGCCTTCTCTGGATCAGACATTTGCCACTTCTTTACAGCACCTACCATTGATGGTGTGGAGGATCCACCACTTCCAGGTTCTCCAAGAAACTATATAAGACAACATCTTTTTTATACACCAGGTTCCACAGATTTCAAGGAAATAGGAAGTTCGTGAGGTTCACAACACACTTTTCAGGTAAAATTTGAGGTCTGATTGGTTGCTTACAAGATTCATCAGTGGAGGTAAAGAGAACTCGGTTCTCTCATGGTCCCATTTTCCCTTCAAAATTCCGCCAATAACTTCATGCAATGGCAGACCCTTTACAGCAACCTGGAAAACTTAGTAGTCAGTATATTCCCATCCTTAGTGGAATAGTTATATAGAATGAACTTATCATTACAAACCTGAGCAAATGACAAGACTTCTGGAGAGAAGCGAACATAACGTTGACTCCCATAGACCGCACAGCTGACATCAAATCCACTTCCAACCTTCCCTTGTGCGAGACAATGAGATGTTTGTGAAATCATATGGATAACATCTAGATCTGAACAACCAAACTTTCCCTCTTTACAAGGATCGGATAGGTCAACCACTCCAAGATAATGTAACAGAGCTGCAACCACAGCTGTGGTCATCGCTGCAGAGGAACCTAGGCCAGTTTTTGCTACTTCAGGCTTGCAATTAGCACCATTTGACTCAGCTGCGTTGAATGTGATTGATGCAAAAGGTGCAAGGGTACTCAGAGATTCTGGTGTCAATGGAAGCCCAAGCGATTCTATCTATCAGCATAAACAAGATTATCAACATTTTGTACAAGCATCTCGAGAGGAAGGATTTGGATAAGCAAAACAATATCAACAAATGCAAGTAATTTAAACAGTTTTCAGCAAAGAAAAAGAAAAAATACCTGATTCCGATATGAGTAGAAGTCATTGGAGCCTAAGATTGTGATATCAAGACCTGCAAAACCGATTTACGGAAATCGTTATATATCCAATCTCCACTTCAGATATAAAAATGATGGAAAAAAAGTGGAGACTTGAAGATTGCCTTGCAAGAAGAGTTTGTGCAATGCTTCTTTGTCCTTGTCGCTTGCCAAATGCGCAGCAGCTATGGCATACTGTATAGCATGCTCTACAAAGGGGTTTCTTGAATCACTGAAATTTTTTTTCAGAAGAAAAAAAAAAGGTGTAAGTTTCTCCATCACCTATATTCGACAAATGAAGTCTCTACAGTACAACTTATGATACTGAGAACAGAAAAAAAGATGCAGCGCATCTGAAAAAGTATTTCGGATCTTGCCTTGCTGACACACACTGAAGAGTCAAATGTTTGAGTGAAAGTTTATACATGCTTTCTCTTGAGAGCTGTGGTGATGTTAATTTCACATCTGTCCATTGCTGGAAAACAAGCAAATAAACAAACCAACAATTTTTTATCAGCCAAAAACACACAAATGAGTAGAAGATGCATGCTTCTGGAGGAAGTGCATACCCATGCCCAACTTTCAGCCTTGACTTCTTCATTGATCGGCTTCACAATCGCATAGAATCGTGCATTTGTACTCAACACAAGCCCTGTATTTGGCCTCTCGAGTATGAGATAGCCTCCAGTCATCAGCACCTTCCCAGGAGCAGAAGCAACACTGCATCAAATAATTTCAAAACACACATCCAAAACGATTGATACCATTTTACCGTATCTTAAAGTACTTTCCCCAGATTTCAATTTTTAACCAAAGTAAGCTTAAATTTGGACGTAGATAGTTGAGGAAGCTGGAGGTGTAACCAACACGATTACGAATATAGAATCAATAGAAAATTTTCGGAAAGATTAACAAAATTGAATAAGCCATTTTCGCAGATTCAAGAACTGGAAAGATAAAAAGAATGTGAGAGAGTCTTCAACATTTCTAATAAAAGACAACATAGCATCCCGAGAAATATGGGGAGAAGCACTTACACAGCCATTTCCAAAGAGTGACAAAAAATGATCGCCGATCAAACCCAGAATCACCTACGATCAAACAAAATTGCAATTCCTTTGAAGCGAAAGCGAGATAAATTCAAATCGCATGCAGAGACTCAACGTATATACGTACATGTACACACTCATAGAACTCCAAAACCTATGTATCGTATAGATTGATAGAATCCCTAGAAGTCGAGCGACCTTTAAAACTCGCTGGATTGCTTTCGTAAATATGAACAACAATTTGTCAGCAGAGTATTAAACACTTACCAATAACCTCTGTCTGCGATACAATATCGCCGGATATGATCGGAAAATTTGCAATCGGCGGCAGTAAATTGACCGGCGGGACGAGCAATGGTAGATCGAGTTTTTGGACTCAGGCGCAGGGAGGAAGAAAGGAAGTGAGGGGTGGTTAAGGATATTTATGGGTTTACCCAAATAGTACTGAGGGTAAAATAGGAACTTACAACAAAACGTATTAACAGATTTTTTTTTTAGTCAAATAAGTTTGACTCGTGAGTTTTTTTGGTTAAGAAAAAAATCTTTAGTTTTTTTAAAGCTTTTTTAACATGACTGTTATTTTTCTATTATTTTTAGATAACTTTCTATATAGACAACAAAAAATGAAAGTTGTCGAAAACTGTACATATATTTTGTCAACAAATTTTGAAAACGCGATAAACTAATGTTTTGGATAATACATTAATCTTTTAAGCCAACTTACATATGACATTACATTTGTCATTAATATCAGTAGTCGATGAACAAATGAAATATTTCTCGTTAGTTGGATCAACCACTCGAAGAACACAAATTTCTTCTTGAGATGCTTCTTGACGATCTCTCGAAGAAACTTTATTGCAATTTGGACGAATAATCTCACCATATGATTTACTTGTAGACCGTAACATATCATAAGTCCATGCACCTGATAATGCTCCGAGCACCGGTGAAACGATATATAACCACAAGTCCTTATAACATCCCCATATAAACGCAGGCCCTAAGCTTCTCGCTGGATTCATAGATGCTCCCGAAATCGGCCTAATCAATTTACGACAAAAAAACAAAGCATTTATATTGTACATTTTAGTTAACAAACCAATCATAATAAGAATGTTGTAAGGGACTTGGTTTAGTTACCCGGACATGAGGATGTCGAGTACTACGGTTGCACCAATAGCAACGCCTGCGAATGATCCGGTGGCTCGTTTATCGGTAGCAACAGCGGCTATAACGAACATTAGATTGAAAGTAGTGATGAATTCCATTACGAAGGATGTTGTGTTGGAGTTTGATGGATATGTTCCCACATAAACATCGCCTTTGAGACTACATACGTTGTCGTTCAAATGGAACACGAGCCGCAGAGCTGCGGCTGCTAAAGTCGATCCGAGAACTTGAGCGGCTATATACGCCGGAACCTTAGAAAACATGGATTATAACCACATTACACATACACTTTATGGTTATGGTTATTGGTTAGTACTATAACACTTATGAGAAATGGCAAAAACATATTTCTTTTGAATTTAGTTACTGAGAATATGACAGAATCTTGAAATGGTTGAATGAAAAACATGATTCTTGTAAGCTTGAAGAAATCACAATATTTCATTTTATTATTCCCCAATTCCGCAAGACATATGTATATATATATATATATATATAATCATATATTATCTTTTGGAAGGGTGCAATAGTAACATTATAGAGAAAAATAACATTGCTACAAAAAAAAAAGAATATTGAGTTTGACAGTGTGAATTCTTTTTATAACAAGTAGATGTCTTTGGATCACCTGTTTAAAAGGAAACTTTTTTGAAGAGGCAAAGGCAATAGAAACAGCAGGGTTGAAATGTGCACCGGAGACATGACCAATTGAGTAGATCATAACCGTTACGGTTAGTCCCCATACCAAAGCTATACCAGGAAGTGTCACCGGTTTACCATACGTCTCATTTACAACGATGGCCGAGCAACCGGCAAATATCAAAGTGAATGTCCCCACGAACTCGCCAATCAACTAGAGAAGAAAAATAATAGCGATTTTTAACTATATATATCTATAAGATTGTGGATCACAATAGTTTAGGAACTATTTCATATCTTAATCTACGAAATTTGAGTACAAAAAAAAACACATTTCTATATTATAATGTTGCAACATCGAAAAAAATCGGATTTTTATTCAATCGGAATGAATTGAACCAATAACTCAATTTAATCAACATGCCATATTCAAATTAAACCAAATTTGAATTCAATGGTACTTTTATAATTTGAAAAACTCGAAAGCTAAAATCTCAAACCAAAGTCATGACTTGACAGGCATATACCTATACCTAACGATCTTAATCAATATGTCTCGATAAAATCAAGAAAATATGTCAAAATAAAATTGGTAAATCATTACCTTTTGAACAAAGGATACAGATACTAAAGGACGAGAGAAATCGGGTGACCTGGAATCACCACCGGAGCCACCATCTTCGATATCGGAGATGGCGGTTTGAGTCTGAGCAGTAATATCAGAGATCTCTGCCATTGATGAGAGACCTTTCTCCAAACAATGTTTATGGTTTGCCCATCTGAAAACTCAAATGGTCAACTCTACTCTGTATTCGCTTATAAGTTATAAGCAGATAATAAAGTTGACTTTTTTTATATTTTATACCACACATCAACATGTTGATCAATTATTTTTAGAGTAAAAACTACATTTTGATAATTTTAAAGACACAAATGAGTGAAAAGAATAGCCTAAATAAAATAATATTTGGTTTCATAGTTGACTTCTCTATTTTGTCACAAAAAAAAATTACGACAGGTGATTGTTAGTTGTGTGGCTCTTTGATTAAGAAAACGTGTAGAGCATGTAAAACTCCGTTAATTAGTACGAGCAATAAAAATCGATTGGAGTTTATATATAGGAACACTAAAACAAGTTTTATTTCTAAATATTTTAGGTCAAATCTAGAAACTTTCAAACGTCTATTGACAGCAATATATACAACAAATCCAAAAAAAAAACGTAAACATAAAGTTTTGAAAACATAGATCGCTAAAAAAGTAAGAAGTATTTTGAGTTGTGGAGCTTATCTTTTGTTGATATCGTAAAAATTCAACCACGAGGTCCACATTGATAGATATATCTGAACGGTCAATAGATGGTTTCTCCTCCCCAAGAATCTGCAGAGACTGGATAGTATGACTGAGATGGTCTAAGGCGCCAGTTTCATATACTGGTCCGAAAGACATGGATTTAAAATTGGGTGATTTGCATTAATAATAGTTCTGAAAAAACAAATTAAGTGAATACTATAGAAAAACAGTCAATTAACTGCGTAGCAGAAGTCAACAACAAAAAGTATGTGAAAAATGACATTACACTCCTTATTCTCTAAATCTAGACATTGCTTTTTCTGATCAAGGTTGGGACCACACCAACTCACCAAGATGCAGATGTTATCTATTTTTTGGAACAATAGCAACGTAAACTTTATTGTTACTTTAGTAAGCTTTAAACGTTGTTGTTGTCTAGTACTACGTGTATGACTAGATTAATTTCGAGAGGACCCTAGTAGATTAGATAAATAGCCATTAACACAACATCCATGAACCAAACATTCAAACTTTCTGATTTTTAGCGTTATAGTTCGTATTTTCTCAAGAAATTATACACGGTGTCCTTTTGCTCAAATCATTTAAAATCTGAGATAACTCTATGAAATAATTAACTATTTTCATAAAAAATATTTTTTCAGAATATGCGGTTATGTAGTAGACGACTATTTTCATAAAGAAGTTGCATCCGCCTCAGATGAACATCTTCTCATTCTAAAATTATGAGACATTATGGACGATACTTTCTCTGATTGCACCAAGTTGAAAGTAAATAGACATATTAGTAGTCACCTATCACTTCAGTATAGCCATTCTTTTCAATTCTAATTCTTTTGTTTGTTGTATTCATATATTTATAGTAACGACTACTAATAGGTGACTATGTTTAAAATGTAGGTGGTTGTTGTCGGCCACGATGAATATGAAGTTTACAACAGAATAGGAGAGAGGTGTACATAACAAGTTATCGACAACTTCTTCTTATAGCAACATTGCAAACGAGAAGCTTATGGGAGAAGTGTACACAACTAGTTTTTGGAGATCCCTTTATGAAAAACCATTCCACCTAGTACCAACTCATGTATGTTATGGTGTCTTAGAACTATTTTCTCCAGTAATGCGTTGACCAGATGGTCGACCAAAGAAAATAAAGATCCCATCCCGAGGAGAAATGAAGGTAACGTAGTCAACTATTTTGTGTTTGTAACATAGTCAGCTTTAATATAATGAGTCATAGTTGCCTACGTTGTGGTTGAAATGTTGTTGATCCAATTCGTTTGAATGACACAGAAAAATTTGTGGAATGCGACAAAACTTTGCAGCAGGTGTCTTAGGAGGTGTCACAATGGTAACTTCATAGCCATAGTTGACTATTTTCATAGAACATCATTAGCTCAGAGTATGTAGATATGTAATAGACAACTATTTTCATAAAAAGTTGCATCCCCCTCAGACAAACATTCTCTCACTCTGAAAGTGTGATATATTATGGACAATACTTTCTATAATTGCACCAAATTAAAAGTAAACATACATATACCAATTAGTCTTCTATTACTTCAGTATAGACGTCCCTTTAAATTATAATTCTTATGTTTGTTGTGTTCATATATTTCTAGTAGAAGACTACTAGTAGGTGACTATGTTTAAAATAACAATGAGTGCATCGTGAATCTAGCAACCTTTACAAAGACATCAATGAGTGCATCGTGATTCTGGAGAAGCACATTATTTGCGAACGGTGTGGGTTCACATCGAAGAAAACACATATCCATACAAAGGAAAAATAGCAAAAAGTTAACTATTGTAATCTGATTACTATCGTAACGTAGCTAACTACAGATAGTTATACTAGTAGTTGGTTATAGGTGCATAGTAGTTATGTAGACTAACTGAATATGGAGTAGCTATTTATTGTATCTGTTATAGATTATAAGAGTAGACGATTACTAATGACCATATTCAATGTTGTTACTACTTACTCAGTATGCATATAAAAATAGTTAACTACTCTAGATCTACAAAATCAAGAGAAACAGATATCGATAACAATGAAGAAGATGATGGAACTGTCAAAAATTACATGAACAAGCAAATGGACAAGCATCTTTGGTCGATACCCTACCAACTCTTTCAAAAATATCAATGAGTGCATGCGAATCTGGGGAGCACATTATTTGCAAACGGTGTGAGTTTGGATTGTTGAAGAGTATACATATCCCTTTAAACACAAAACAGTCAAATAGTTAGCTACTGACTAAATAACTACTACTGTGACGTAAATAACTATTGTTATTCAAAAGAGTAGTTGATTTTTCATGTATAGTAGTTCTGTAGACTAATGCGTAGACATTTACTAACGACGATGACAATATTTATATATCGAAGGTAAGATCTACAAATCCTAGATCTGAATATGTTGTAAACCAGATGTGGATAACAAACAAAAAGACAATTGTACTGGAAAAATACAGAGTACAAATTGGCAGGAATCACGAGTAGATGATTACTAAAAACAGTGTAAATAGTTAACTACATAAAGTAAGATTTAAAAATTCTAGATCTACAAAATCAAGAAACCGTGATGTGAAAAAATAGCGAACAATGTCATAATACTGAAGAAAAATGAGAACAATAAACATAACAGAAATAGTAGAAAGAAGCAGAAGAAAACCAAATATCAAAACGGTACCTGGCACAAGTACTTGGCAGGCGAAAAAATCAACAATGTTATGGAAAGTGATGAACCGGAGAAAACGAGGGATGGTAGAGCTTCGTCGTAGAAAACAAAAGGAGCAATAAGATGGACGGACAAGACCTCGCTGTAGAAATAGAGAGTAGAGAATTATGTGGATGTCTGAAAATGAAATTGAGTTTCTAATAGTTGAGAGATTTTTTGAAATGGGATTTTCTGGATAGGTTTTGAAAGAACGAGAGTCAATTCAAAATTTTTTCAAAAAAGAAAGATAATAAGCTCAACTAAATGTTTCGTAGCAAAATTATGGTGGTGTTGAAAATAGAAATTGTCAGAATCTATAAAAATTTTATTGGTGTGGTTTAAAAGAACAGGTGTGATTTAAATTTGATGAGGGGGTTCGATGTTTTTGCTCACGATTAAAAAAATGGGTTTTATTCGGCCTAAATAAGACTTTAGGAATGCTATCCCACCTAATTTCCCTTCAAAATTCTATATTTGTTTAATTTTTTTTATTAAGAACCAAAAACTACCACTAAAAAGGTTAAATCGAATTAAAATTGTGTTTGTGAGAAATTGGAAAGACTGAGATCGAATATATATATATTTATGAGGATTTTTGTAAAAAAAGTTAAAAATATTATGTATTTCAAATTTAATATTGGTAATATTATTTACAAAAATGGTAAATACTTATCGCTGATAAATCTTTGAGGTTGAATATCGTTTTTGAGCAGGTCAAACAGATAGTTTGATATATTATAGTGTATAAACATACTTCTACTTTTTTTCAATCATTTTGTTGAATGTGTAAACGATATTATTTAGTATGTAGCTATACAATGTGTTATATACTTCGTGTAGCTGCCAATATTTAGAGCCCAATACAACAAAAAGTCCAAAGAAGTGCCAACAAACTTCTGTGTTTAGGGTTTCTTTCCAAATGGTTTTGTTATATATATAAGTGTTATGTTTCTTCTCTTGTAACTTTGGCTGCGTGGGCAGCCTCTCATTTATCATTTTCAGATCAATTAATCTAAAAAACATTGTGATTTTGGTGATCATTTAAACTTTACCATTTTAAATACTACTTTTCCTTTGTACCACAATAAAGCTCTAGCTACCGATTTTATAATCTCGTTTTCTATTTCAATAATCTCTAAAGAGCTTTATACCACTTGGTTTGGTTTCTCCTACAGCCAATACACTAGACAAAATAATATAGTAGTAGTATATAATTTTATCGAGTAGAACGTGTGAGATCTTGCTTATAAGAAATATTACATTGAGGTTATAAAAATTTCTAGCTAACTTTTATTAATACTTCATATTCCGTGCGCCACACAAAAGAACACACCCTAATATAAATATTTACTGTGTAAAGCAAAATATTATACTAATGAGTATATTACTCAAAATATGAGAAATAAATCTAAGACATTATAATCAATAACTAAAGTCAAGTTTTTCTTGAAATATATTTATAAATATTATTATAATCAAAATATTTAAAACTAAGTTTCTTTTTTGAATAAGTTTTTTTTAAACGAAGTTAAAAGATAATCTTTTTAAACTATTAATAGATATAAGTACAGTTGACGTGTTAATCTTTTTTGGACTATATTTGCAATCACTCACCTAACAGCTAGTGTTTTAGTTTTAGTAAATAATCTATTAATATTAATTACTTAACATAGTCGCGAGAAAAAACATATATAAATCAAATTTGTTGACTAACAAAAATAAATATATATATATATATATATATATATATGAATAGGTTAGTAAATCAATAAAAAAAACTCTTTTTTTGGTATAAATTTTATGTGCTCAGCATAGGATTTACAACAGAAGTTTAAAAGAAAGCCAACTAGTAACAACAAAAAATTTAAAGGAAACTACTGAAAACAAGATAAGCATGTCATTTTAAATAATTATTAAATGGGAAAATAATAGTATCCTATTTATAAAGATATGTTACCCTAAATAATAACCAAAGTGTGCATGCCTCCTTTTCCCTCAAGAACCAAACTTTAATCCTAGAAAAAGTTACTTTAACATCGAGAATGAGTCTAGCGCAAGATCTAGTGGAAGACATTCTTGAGAGACTCCCGGTGAAATCTTTACTCAGATTCAAATTAGTGTCGAAAACATGGAAAACTACGATTGAATCTCAACATTTCAAGGAGAGACACATGATCCGTCGGCAATTACGAGAGCCAGATTTCCTTCTCATAGATGATCAAGATGATGATGATCTTCTAGACAATGAAGAGTTGATGATTAGGACACTGGTCATGGATCCTTACGATGATGAAGACCTTGGAGAAGCTGAGCCGGGGTTTTGTATCCAACTCTCCTTTGATGATGTTTCCAGAAGTTGTGACGGCCTCGTGTGCATCTACGATTTCCGTAGATCTATCCTTATGGTCAATCCAAGCACCAAGTGGATGCGAGAAGTTCCTCGAGCAAATCTTCAAGCACTTCTTTGCCAAAGGTACGGTGACAACGAACTCTACTTATTAGGCTTTGGCAAAGACATACGCACAAAAACATACAAGTTGGTATGGTTGTATAATTCGTTCGAACTAGATCTAGAGGGTGCAACTACTTGTGAAGTCTTTGATTTTAACATCAATACTTGGAGGCATGTGGAATCTTCTCCTTACCGGATTCTTGGTGACCAAAACCCTATATACGTGGATGGATTACTCAACTGGTTCATCTTCAAAAGCAATACTGAAATAAAAATAATATCTTTCGATTGCCACACCGAGATATTTCAAGAAATTTCAGAATCTCCGATAACTCAATATGCTGATGAATGCCGGATCATAATGTGCAATCTGAATAATCGTCTGTGTGTATCAGAAAAGAAGTGGCCAACACAAGACATATGGACATTAAAGTGTTCAGACATGATGATGACATGGGAGAAGATGTATTCATTGAATCTATCTTCTTGTCCTGATGGCTTGCTAAGCGATGAGATGTGGCCTATAGCTTGTCCGCTCGCAGTTCTGAATAACAAGAAGCTATTGCTTTTTGATGAGGATGATGATAATCCAAATCTTGTGATATATGACTTGGAAACGAGATCATATTCCTTGTGTGTCGATGCAGGATTTGTGGTATACGTGGCTCCTTATTTTCAAAGCTTGATCTCAATCACTTAAGAATTATGGTTTATTTCTATTGAGATTATTGTTGTAGTTTCATTGTTGTGCTGGTTAGACTATGTACTCCAAATAGACCAACTCTGTGTAATCGGTTGATAATCTACTTTATCATTTTAATAATGTATAAGTAAATGGAATGATATACTTTAAGAAACAGTTATGTACAAGGAGATTTGGTTATAATTTGCGGGAACTAAACCTAGTAGGTGCTACAACTAGTGAAGTTTTTGATTTTAACACCAATCTTGGAGTCATATATGTGGAGTCTTTCTCCCTACCGCATTCTTGATAATCATCGACGTCCTACATACCTAAATGTATCACTGTATTAGTTCATCTTTGAGAAAAAATTACTGAAAATAAATGTGTGAATATCTTTTGATTGTCACACAGAGCGCCCAAATAAAATGGTGGGTGGACAGTGAGAATGTGCAATCTGAGTAATCATCGTTTGTGTATAACACAAGGGAATTAGAAAAGACAAGACATATGGGTTATTAAATGTGGCAGGATGCGTATTCAGTATGGTTATCTTTGGTTTTAACAAAAAAAAAAAAATGGTTATCTTTGGTTACGAATTGATATTCTTCCTATTTAAAAATTTACAGGGTAAAATCATATTATTTGTATGTTCTCCTTGTTACGTATGCCGTACGCAATAACAACAAAAATATCTAAGTATCTATTCTTTCTTTTTTTTTTTTTTTTTGGGTTCGCTTTGCAGATTTCTATCAACCAATTAATAAAGGAAAAGATAAACTTGAACAGAATATACTATCTTAGATGATTACTCTTGTATTTTACTTTTCTATGTAATTTCCTTTTCGCCTTAAGAATTTTAGGTTTAGAGTAAAGTCTTTTAGTTTGTATATAAAAATAAACACAACCCGAACATTCCAAATAAAACACCGATTTTACAGATAGCTAGGAACAATGTCGACCCACAACGATCTCCTTCGGATTATAGCTAATATCACGTTCCTTATCGATCCGACTTCAGAGCAAATTAGAGACGGTATTCGTGGAAGGAGAGGAGGAGCACCACCAGCTGCGAAATCAGCGATTGAGGCTTTAGAGACTTTTGAGGTTGCTTCTTCTTCGCAAGGAGATTGTGCTGTGTGTACAGATGCAATGGTGATGGGTGAAATCGGTAAGAAGCTTCCATGTGGACACTGTTACCATGAGAGTTGTATTCTGCAATGGTTAAGAACAAGAAACTCTTGTCCTCTTTGTAGATTCCAGCTTCAGACTGATGATGCCGAGTATGAGAGCAAGAGACGAAGAGAATAAAAAACTTTGTTAGCTAGCCGAGATTATGTGCGTGTTATTAACTTATTGGACTCTTCATCCTAAGATACTTTAAAAAGAACTTATGCGCATACAAAAAATCACTTAGAACTCTTCATCTATATCAAGAAAAATCTCTACGAGTTTCTGATGTCATAAAGAAAATTAAAAAAAAAAATAAAACACAAGCAACACTAGATTCATACTTTAGTAAATTATCTTAGAAATATCTATGCATAAGCTACAGAATTAATTATTTTGATGTAATTGAGATTATATATATACACAAAGATTTCTTATAAAAATTTTATATTATTATTTTATCAATTTTCTGTTTAATTATGAACTCACTCAACTGTAGAAAATTCATGTTTCTTAATTTATATGTCATTTTTTTTTAAAAAATATCTATATTATTTTATTAAAACCGGAAATTTATAATTCTTTTTTAGTTTATAGAAGATTTTAGAGTAATCTAGACTAGGTGGGGATCCGCGCTTTGCAATATATACAAAGTTAATTACAAAATTTATAGAGGCGATTATTGATAAATAGGAATTTTGTAAGTTATATATAATATTTTGAAATGATATATTTTAATATTCTATTATTCTAATAATACTAACTATCATAAATTATTTCTTTAAACTTTTTATAATGGTGAAAATTTCAATAGTTGAATAATGGTATTGTGATCTGTATTGTTAATAAACCCAAAAATTTCGATAGTTGGATACTTTTGAAAAACTCATCACTTTATCAAACATGATCATTATCGTTATTTGCTGATGTACAACATTCCAATTCTGCAGATCTTTAAGTTATAGTTTGTTTTAGTGTGTATCTTTTAAACACCATTATAGTTTTATAATCGATTTCCTTTATGTTTAATAAAAGTATCGGTTCTCGACAATCAATAAAACCATTAATAAATAAAAAAGAAAAATTATCAATTCTAAAGCACAAATAAACCAAATTATCATTAAAATAGACCATTTAATTGGTAAAAGTCTAAACCAAAACAAATAAAATAAATTATCGTTTTCTTACATTCTGAAAGACAGCCTTGTATACAAACGTTCAAAGTATTGGTTTGTGGCTTACTAATAGGAGCCATTATTAGAATTTTCAAATCAGCTCTCAAAGTAACATGTGATATAGCCATATG